TAACTAGATTATTGACTCTAGTGCAAGTGGGAGACTGTTGGAAATATGCCCTAGAGGCAATAATAAAATGATTATTATTATATTTCCTTGTTCATGATAATTGTCTTTTGTTCATGCTATAATTGTATTAACCGGAAACAGTAATACATGTGTGAATACATAGACCACAACATGTCCCTAGTGAGCCTCTAGTTGACTAGCTCGTTGATCAACAGATAGCCATGGTTTCCTGACTATGGACATTGGGAGAATGATGTGATGGACAAGACCCAATCCTAAGCATAGCACAAGATCGTGTAGTTCGTTTGCTAAAGCTTTTCTAATGTCAAGTATCAGTTTCTTAGACCATGAGATTGTGTAACTCCCGGATACCGTAGGAGTGTTTTGGGTGTACCAAACGTCACAACATAACTGGGTGACTATAAAGGCACACTACAGGTATCTCTGAAAGTGTCTGTTGGGTTGGCACGAATCGAGAATGGGATTTGTCACTCCGTATGGCGGAGAGGTATCTCTGGGCCCACTCGGTAATGCATCATCATAATGAGCTCAATGTGACCAAGTGGTTGGTCACGGGATCATGCATTACGTAACGAGTAAAGTGACTTGCCGGTAACGAGATTGAATGAGGTATCGGGATACCAACGATCGAATCTCGGGCAAGTAACATACCGATTGACAAAGGGAATTGTATACGGGATTACTTGAATCCTCGACATCGTGGTTCATCTGATGAGATCATCGTGGAACATGTGGGAACCAACATGGGTATCCAGATCCAGCTGTTGGTTATTGTCCAGAGAGCTGTCTCGGTCATGTCTGCATGATTCCCGAACCCGTAGGGTCTACACACTTAAGCTTCGGTGACGCTAGGGTTATTAGGAATACTTGTATGTGATTACCAAATGTTGTTCGGAGTCCTGGATGAGATCCCGGATGTCACGAGGAGTTCCGGAATGGTCAGGAGGTGAAGATTTATATATGGGAAGTTGTAATACGGTCACTGGAAAGTTTCGGGATCATACCGGTATTGTACCGGGGCCATCGGATGGGTTCCAGAGGTCCACCGGGAGGGGCCACCTCTCCCGGAGGGCCTCATGGGCCATGGAGGGAAGGGAACCAGCCCCTAGTGGGCTGGGCGCACCCCCCCTTGGGCCCATGCGCCTAGGGTTGTGGGGATACCCTAAGGGGGGCGCCCCCCTTGCTTGGGGGGCAAGTCCCCCCCCTTGGCCGCCGCCCCCCTCTAGATCTCATCTAGAGGGGGGCGGCCCCCTTCCTCCTCCTCCTATAAATAGAGGGGCGAGGGGAGGGCTGCACACACACCTCCAAGGCGCAGCCCCTCCCCTCCCCAACATCTCTCCTCCTCCATAGAAACTTGGCAAAGCCCTGCCGGAGTGCTGCCTCTCCATCACCACCACGCCGTCGTGCTGCTGTTGGAGCTCTCTTCCTCAACCTCCCCTCCTCCTTGCTGGATCAATTCGCGGGAGACGTCTCCGCTCCGTACGTGTGTTGAACGCGGAGATGCCGTCCGTTCGGCACTAGGATCTTCGGTGATTTGGATCACGACAAGTATGACTCCATCAACCCCGTTCTCTTGAACGCTTTCGCTCACGATCTACAAGGGTATGTAGATGCACTCCTATCTCTCTCGTTGCTAGATGACTCCATAGATTGATCTTGGTGATGCTTAGAAATTTTTTATTTTCTGCAACGATCTCCAACATGCAGCAGGGACGGCGGCCGCGGCGGAGGCGGCGACGACGACGACAACGGCGGCGACTACACACGGTTCTACAACCTCCTCGGCATGTAGAACTACAAGGGCGGTGGGCGGCGAGGAGCGGCGAGGGAGCAGCCTAGTAGTTTTTTTTTCTTTTTTGTAAAATATTTTTAAATATGAACGAACTCGCCGAGGTTTGGTTGAATTTGCGCCGTGTTTGTGCCGTAATTTAAATTTTCAAAAAAATGTGGGCGCTGTGATTGGGGGGCATCACGCCCCCAACGCGCGGTTTAGCGCCGGTGCGCTCCCAAGGGCGATTTTTAGCGCCTCCTGGGGGCCAACAGCTGGAGATGCTCTAACAAGGAGTATTTAACCAAAAATTACCACAATTCATGGAACCGTGCCTACAAACTACCACTTTACGATTTTTTCCCGAAAACTACCACTTTTTTATTAATCTATGACTAAAAACTATCAAGTGTGAAAATCAACTGATTCAGCCATTTTAAACGCGTTTATGCCAGGCCTGGCCCGCATGTAAGTGCTGACATGGCATCGTAAGTCAACACCGTTTGTTTGACCGTTAAGTGTTGACATGGCTTGTCTCCCCTCGCCCGTTGCAGTGGTCACCGGAGAGCAGCCCCTGCACTCCCCACGCAGCAGGCGGCGCATGCCTCTCTTGCTCGCCCCCGTCGGCTCCAACCACGGGCGGGCACAGCCGGGGCGCGGGCAGGAAGCGGGGTGTGCGCGGGGGAGCGCGGCGGGGCCAGGCGCGCGGCCATGGGCACGGCCAGGGGCGCGGCGGCCAGGCACGCCAGTGGGGCTTGACGAGGGGCGCGACGACGGGCACGCGACCAGGGGTGCAGCCGCATCTGGAGGAGACGACGCGACCTGCAGGCGGCGCTCCAGCGCGAACAGGGCGGCGGGGAGGTCCGGGCGAGGCGGATTCGGGGCGGCGTCTGCCGGATCTGGCGACGACGAGGTTGCACGCTGATGGGGAGGCCTGCCGGCGGCGAGCCCCGGGACGGCGGCCGCTCGGGGCGAGGCCATGGCGACGGGCGGCGCGGGGCGGTTCGCTGGGCGGCGGGGCTGCGCCAGGGAGGCGAGGCTGCAGAATCCGGTCGCGATGGGGTCGGCGACTGCCGGCAGTGCTCCGGTGACCACTGCGGCGGGCGAGGGAAGATGAGCGGGGGCGCAGGCGCAGCAGTCACGGGCGTTAACGGCTGGCCATGAGCGCTTCATTACGCTGGCACCTAAACGGTGGGGTCGGGCAGTCAGATTCGGGTTTAACCCAGTCAAAGCGAGCAGTTTTCACACTTGATAGTTTTTAGTTACATATTAATAAAAAAAGTGGTAGTTTTCAGAACAAAATCGTAAAGTGGTAATTTATAGGCACGGTTGCACGAATTGTGGTAGTTTTTGGTTAAATACTCCTCTGACGAGCGTCAAGGAGCTCCCCAGCAGACCCGCCGCCGTGCCATGGCCGCCAGCATCGGCGAGGCCAAGAGCTCTTCGACCATGAATCCTTACAGGTGCGAGCCCCTTCCCAGCCTGCTACTCCTTTGCTCCTCGCATTCTGTACTCAGTTTTACTCGGACGAACCCTAGGATGAACAGGATAGAAAGATCCAATCCCCTTTGCCCCACTCGACACCAGGATTCAAAGATGCTCTCGACTTTGATATAGAAAAGTAGCTCTCAGCCCCCCGCATATTTTAATGGCTCCCTGCCGCGGTTTGTTGGGCTCCGTCGCTTCCACCAGTCAGCATCGCATCCATCCTCCTCCCCCCTATTTAATCAAACGGAGCAGAGTCCATTTTTGCTCGGCCTTCTTGATCACACAGCTAACTAGATCGAGCGAAGTCAACGGATCTCGCGCATAGTTCTCAAAGGTGGAGTTCGGTGGTTCTGTGCATCCATAGGCAACCCGTAGATCGACCGGATTTCTTCCTTCTTTATGGATGCTTTTTTGAGCAGCTAGATTTGGTTTGCATCCCTGCAGGTCTTCCAGGCCGGTGTTTCCGGAAGCTCCAGCTCTGCTGGTCACCTGTGGGGCGATTAACCATTGTTCAGATTTAAAGTATGTGTATGCTCATCCTTGTTATCATCTTGAGTTCTTCATAATGCGTGATCTCCAAAGCAGATGAAACAGGGCATGCTATTTCTGTTTACTGCATCGCTCTGTTCATCTTTGTGCTTAAAACTTCCAGGATTTCTGTTTTCGAGTGCCCTGTATACTGGGGAGGGTCACCTCTTCCCTGCCTGCAATATTCTTGAACATATTCGAGACCTTTGGGGAAGCCATCAGGGTGTGATACAATTAAGAACATCACCCTGTTTTAGGGTACCTATTCATTAGAAATTTCTGATGTCAAATACAGATATATGCACACACCTGGGAGACCAATTATGACATGTCCCTGCAGGTTTCTGATGTCCTATTCATTAGAAGCTTCTCCCTGCAGGTTTTCCTGGTTGGTGTTTCCGGAAGCTCCAGCTCTGTTGGTCACCTTTGGAGCCACCAACCATTCTTCAGATTTAAAGTATGTGTGTGTTCATCCTTGTTATTATCGATTTCTTCATAATGTGTGATCTCCAAAGAGTAGGACATGTTATTTTGGTTTACTGCATCGTCCTGTTCATCTTTGCGCTTAAAAACTTCGAGGATTTTTATTTTAGAGTGCCATGTATATTGGGGAGGGCCACCTGTTCCCTGCCTGCAATATTCTTGAACATAATCAAGACTCCTGGAGAAGTCATTTGGGTGTGACACAAGAACATCACCTTGTTTTAGAATACCTGTTCATTAGAAAGAAAAATATGTGAAATGCAGATATATGTGCATTTAGTACGCACACCTGGGAGACTACATATTACATGCAAAACTCGATAAATAATCATTGTGGGACTAAGTAATTTTTGCATACTAATTTTCCTATTTGAAAGTTACATAATCTTTATATTGTTTTCCAAACGAACTCGATAATCAGGGGTTGCACTAACACATCATATTTTCCACTTAGACTACTGCTCGGAATGGATTTAGTGCCATAACATCACTGCCAACCCTGACCTGATTTGTGTTAGTGTTTGAACTATAAGATTGCAACTAGTCAACAGAGCACAGTGCTTCTGACCATTTGCTCATGTGTGTATTGAAATAGTGTTTTAAATTTCGCTGTAGAACTTTCTTTGCAAGAATTAATAACGTGTTCTCACTGTGAAACAATTAGTACTATGTGCATGGTCTTATTCAAGATTTTTTTTTGTGTGTCATAGAAATGGCTGATCAAGCAAGTGAACTTGAAGCCCTGGAGCTCATATTGACAGATGCAAATGCAGAGCCTACCAAGCTATCATATGCACTTATAAAGTCAATTACAACAAATTTCTCTCAAGAGATTGGTCTTGGTGGTTTTGGAGTCGTTTACCTGGTACGATTTGTTATTGATCATTTCACAGATGCTAAATCTTCCTACTCCTGTGGAGCAGAATTCCTATGTTGATGCTAATAATACGTTAAGTTATATATAGGGAGTTCTTCGGAATGAGAAAGTTGCTGTCAAGAAACTTTTTATAGAGCAGGATTTTTCTGATGAGCTATTTGTGGATGAGGTTAACTGTTTAGTAAGGGCAAAACACAATAATATAGTAAGATTCTTAGACTATTGTGCGGATACACAAGGGGAATTGGTAAAATTTGATGGAAGACATGTTATGGCAGAGCTACGACAAAGGTTGCTCTGCTTTGAGTATGTTCCTAATGGAAACCTTCACGATTACATTAAAGGTATAAGCTTTTAGCTTTATTCCCCTATATGTAGTTTGTACGAGAGCAAGTACTCCCTCTGATTCATGTTAATATGAATCGGAGGGAGTACCAGATTTCAATCTTGAAAATTCTTTCCTAAATTATACCTTATTTTAGCGCATTGAAACTTTAAATTTTATCATGTGTTTGAAAGTGAAAGTTAGACCACATCCTAAACATAAGCACTACCATCAAACCAAAAATTGAGTCTAGCCCCTCAGAATTATCTTACCAATCGTTCTTTACCAGACAAACTAGTTTATCAAAGAAACAAATATTTGCTTGAATCATAAATTGTGGTGCTATGATGTGCATCAGTGCTGCTGGTTATTCTGAAGTACTAACTGTCTTGTGATGTTTAACACATAAATAATATGAATCGATAGAACTTGGTAAACAACACCTGATGTTCTCAACATTGACGTTATGCAACCTAAGCATTAAGCTTTTATAATAATATAACAACGAGAACTGCAAAACATTGGCAATGTCACTTACAGGGATATCTCATGGAGATGAATGGCAAATACGCTATAAAATGATTAAGGGAATTTGTCATGGATTGCAATATCTTCATAAAGAACGTATCACCCATTTGGATTTGAAACCAGACAATGTTCTGCTCGACGCTTACATGGAACCGAAAATTACAGACTTCGGTTTGTCAAGATTATTTGATGAAGGACAATCTAGAGTGTTTACTAAAAACGTTCCTGGAACACGGTAAATTTCTTTTCTTGATATCAAGTCTGTTAAATTTGCTTTATGCCGTGACGCTTTAGATTATCAATGTCTTGCAGGGGATATATTGCACCAGAGGTCATAGACAAAGGAGAAATATCGTTCAAGTCAGACATATTTGCTTTGGGAATTGTAGTCTCAAAGCTATTAGTGGGGCAGAACAATTATGACATTGAAAATGTAAGGACAATTTACATAAACATTTTTGTCTATTTTGTTCAATTATAACAAAATTTACCAGTTCTGTATTATCCTCATATAGAAAGTACGTAGTACCAGTCATAATAGGCAAACTGTGTTGGTTTGCAAACTACCGATTCAGTGTATAGGGTTTATTGATCACTCTACGCCATGCTCCTGGTTATTCCAGTACAGAAGATGGCGTACAGTAGCCTGAGGTAGGGACAAGTGACGAAGCAGTGTGAAACAGTTCACTCAACAGAACAGACAGTCAGGGCAGGGCATCAACGGAGCTTGCAGTAGGCAGCTTACGTGCATCTGCGTCTTGCCGTTCCTCAACATCCAATCGGATACATATAGGGTGGGGGTGTGGGGGGTAAGTTTCTCCAGTTCAAGTGGTGCAGTAGCAAGCCACAACCACTTTGATGAAACATGCGGTACCCTACGCTGGTGGGTAAATGAGAGTGGTTGCTCTATGCGACAGAGGACCTCAATGGTGAAGCCAGAGACTTCACGGGAAAGCAATGATATTTTCTCTTCTGTGCTTGGCGTGACATGCCGTGAGGCTGGAAGCACGAAAGCTTTGCTAGGGAACATATCACCCTGACACACAGTTATCAATTAATTCGTCAATAGAAGAACAGTGCTTCTGAAAGTATGAAAACTAATAAATACTAATGTATACCAATTTCAAACAAATGTCGAGTATGTAATATCTAGTTACCAAGCGTTATTAATGCTAACTCGAGTTTGTCTGAACCTGCAAGGTAGTCGTATGTGTGACTTTATAGAATTGCCTGACGCATGTTTGGACTGGTAACGTTATTAACTACTCCCTCCATCCCATAATATAAGAGTGTTTTTGACACTACACTAGTGTTAAAAACGTTCTTATATTATGGGATGGAGTGAGTAATTGCTAATAATAGTTTCACAAAGCTACTACCACAAGCTTAAAAAAATGCTGATGTCCATTTACGTTTTGAGGTCAACAACATTGACCATTATATTTTACAATCACGCATTGAAAATATTTTATATAGTTCTGTTTTGAACATATTTACCTTATTCTGCTCTGACAAAAACTGAGCTTGTTGTCAAGGTTGAATCTTGGAATAACAAATATCTTGAATACAGATGTTAGTTTTTTTTTTCTCATCGTTTACTGTGCTGCCATCCTTACTAATATGTGTTAACATTGCAGTGGCATGAATCATTAGATGTGGACTGCACACAAGCGAAGAGCTGCATCCAAATAGCTCAATCTTGTATGGAAGCTGACCAACATAAGCGACCTACAGCAGAGGAAATAATCAAGAAACTGAATGAGATGGAGAGCCTAGGGTCTTCCATATACAGGGTACGGTCATTCAGGGAATATATGTAATCATGTCCTCTTTTAACATCATATGTAACATAGGAATTTGTCTGGTGCATATTCCACCTTTTGGTGCATATGTGTATCCCACATTTTAAATATAATACAGTCATTAAAAACATCACTCGCTTAAATGACTGCAAAGATCAGTATTAAGAATATATGACTGTTTGTGCCTTAAATTTCAGCCTCCAAATTGTCAAAGCCATCCATCATTTTGTGAAAATTATAACAAACTGTTTTTTCTGGTCACTTTGATCAAAGAGGACATGCTCCAGTTGAAAAATGATGACGTAGTTTTCATTGTCTTCATTGATTGCATTCATTATCTTCATTGATTTTATGTTTATCAGGCCCTCATTAATGACTTTAACTTTCTTGTAGACAAACTCATCCGACTCAGAGAACCTGATTCAGGTAGAGCCTCTTGAACTCCATTTCCACTTGGAGCCAAACACGCACATATCAGTGACACAAAAACTAAAGCTAGCCAATATTACTGATGACTACGTTGCTTTCAATGCAATGGAATGGTCCAGCATGGCGAAGTATGGATTCTCTTGGTCAGGGCCAAGCAGAGGAATCCTGTTACCATGGTCCACGCATGAACTTGGGCTAATAAGGGAAGCACATGAGATGTCACCACTGTCTGTGCAGTGCAATGACGTGCTCATTGTGCGGAGCACCGTGGTGAGCGAGGGTTTCAAGACCCGCTACATAGCTCTGGACATGTTCAAAACACACACGGGTAGAAAAGTGCATGAGGTGAAATTGGGCATTCTTGTTGTACCATCCCTAGCAGAGTCCTCAGCATGTACAGCACATACTCTATCAATGTCTCCAACAGAAAACCAGGATCTCAAAAAGGCCAAAGAGGAGCTTCATAGGCTGGGTTTAAGTGCACATGAGAGACCACATGACACAAATGCTCAGCTGAGTTCCCTAACTAAGGCTAATTAGGACTCTTCTTTGTATTCCTTTTGTTTAAGATTACTACCTTATCTCCTCTCTTTTAATTGTATATATTTGGCATAAGTCCCATGAAATACACTATCAAGTTGCTCTCATCATAACATTAATCATATTTAGCAATGGGACCCCCACAAACTGACAGGTTTAATCATATCCGAATCATGATTTTGGCTATAAAATCTGGTTCAGCTTTATCATTTGTAACAAATACGTGTTACATATATTTTTACCTTTCTGTTGCCAAAGCAGACAACGTTAGCTAGCCAGTATTGCATAAAACTAAATATCCCTGTGAAGCTGAACACACTGTTAATGCTTAGTGCTTAATTTTTGTTGACTGTTAAATGCATTGGCCTTCCATTAACTTCAGATGAGCCAAGAAACTGCAAGATCCACCGAGCACCTTGCCATCCACCCCCTGGAGCTTCGATTCCTTTTTGAGCAAAACAACTTGATCACGTGCGCACTTTACCTAAGGAACAACACAGATCACCGCTTTGCCTTTAGACTCGTATCAGGGAGCCCAGATAGGTATTTTGACAAGGGGCTCTACGGCAACATTCCACCGAAGTCAACCTACACCCTCTTTGTAAGAATGAGGGGCTGGCAGCAGCCAGCGCCGCACAAGGATGAGTTTGTGATTCAGAGCAGCGTAATGAGCGATCAAGAGCTGAAGGATATCGGACAAGTAAGAGCCGATATCGACTACTGTAATTTTTTTTCTGATGTAAAAGAGAAGAACGTTCATTCGGTGCATGAGGTGACGCTCCAAGCTGTTTTTGAACTGCAAAGAGAGATAATAAATGTTAAGGTGAGTTCGTCAAGTACGTAAACAATGCTATGTGTAATTCTCACTGGGATCATTAATTAGCTCTGTCTATCAGGAGATAACTTATTACTTTCAACCCAATCTTGTTTATTTTGTAGGCCCATGCACATATCCTTCGTAATTAAAACGAGCATGTGTTCATATTTTTTTGGTGTATTGATTATTGTTTGTTTAATTTGTTTGATCAGATCATACCCATGGAGAAGTTCACTAAAATATTCTCTATGGATGTGCATCCAACAAAGCCGTGGTGAGTGGTCATTTTCAATTATTTAGCAAGCATTAAATTATTCACTAAATTATTTAGCAAGTTTTTATAGAATGTTGTACATAATGTGATTTCCTATTCCTATTCCTACACCCCTCCAAAGCTCTTTTTTGAAGAACAAGAAATACGGAAGATATGGAGCTAAGATGGTTAAGTGGTGTTGTGCTTGTTCAATTGTACATAATGTGATTTCAAACTTATGATTTGGCATTTTTTTAAATATTTCTTCAAAGATGCCAAGTGGTCCCACATCTCAGTCTGTCTTTTTCTAGAGACAACATCAAAGTACATGTCAATCAGTCTTCATGTGATGAGGGGCCGGAATGTAGGATGTCACACATACTAATGCCATCAACTCCAACATTAATAGTGTTATAAAATGCAGTAGCTTGAGCTAAGTAATGATAGATTGGCTTCTAGGAATGTTAGTAAGTTTAGATTTACGTGGGAAATAAGCTATATGGTTCATGTTAGTCGTGCTCTCGAAGGTCAATGTAAAGTATGCACACCAAATCAGCATTAATAGTTCTGCAAAGGTTTTGGGAGTAGCATTTAAGAAGTGCTGTAACAAGCTTTCAAATTTCAAATCGATTTTTCTTTTAAATGAGCTGGACAAATAATTAGGAGAAGTTGGCTATGATATATTATATTTGAGTCACATTTTTTTGGTCATTCTAGAATCTAGAGTATGTGGCAGTCAATTTTTTTTGGTTTGACTATTCCACAGTAATATCAAACATAGCCTAATTATTTACTTGACAATTAGCCGCAGGAATTGGTTCATGAGCAAAAAGGCTTGCCATGTGAGTTCGCCATAACATTCATTATTCAATGCTTAATTAGTTTCTCTCATGCACCTTATAATTTTCAATCGCTCCAACTGCAGTTTTGACAGCTAGTTTCATTGAAAGGGAGCAGTGGATTGTGGCTGGAACCGCCGGAGATCGTAAAGGTTGGATCTATGTGTACAATTATGATACATGGGAGGAAGTCAAGAATCTGAAGGCTCATAATGCATCAATCACTTCTTTGGCTGTTCACCCAACTAAGACTTACGTATTGTCAGCATCCCATGACTACGATATTGAGCTGTGGGACTGGAAAAAGGGCCGGAAATCTGCTCAGACATTTAAGGGACACAAAGGTTCTGTGTACCAAATAGCATTTAATACCAAAGATGCAACTATTTTTGCTAGTGTTTCCCAGGACAAGACTATTAAGGTTTGGTTCCAATCCTCCCATTTTCCTAACCAAATGTTTGCTGTGACCATTAATTTAGCCTGTTACTAAAGTGATTGTAAAGTCCTTAAAATGAAATTTCAGATTTGGAGTCTTGATTCTCCCCGTTCTAACCTCACGTTGGCTGGCCATACATCCAAAGTGAGATGTTTGGATTACTTTTCTCGTGGTGATAAGCAATTTTTAATTACAGGATCTGATGATAAGACTGCCAAGGTGTTGACTCTTCTCTAAAGAACACTGGAGCACATACATGGAGCATTTCCTTTAACATTTTCTTCCTCTTGAAACAGATTTGGGATTTGCAGACAAATAGTTGTATTAAAACACTTGAAGGGCACACAAGTAGAGTCAGTACCGTCTGTTCCCATCCTATGCTTCCAAAAGTAATGACAGGTTCGTGGGACGGAACTGTTCGTCTTTGGAACTCAACTACCTTCATGTAAGCACTGATTGCAGGCACATTTCTTATGGTTGAAGTCCTATTTCATAATTTATGGATCGTGATTCAAATGAGCAAGTCTAGGGTGGATCATGATTCAACAAATGATGAGGAGCTGGCCCTCACTTGGGGTCTCCCCCCTTAACCTTATGAACACCCCTCTTCTTGCATAGACTATGTAAAGCCGATATATGGAAAAGCTATGCCATTGTTGTTTGTACTCCCTTTGTGAAGAAATATAAGATCATTTAGTTCACTAAAGTAGTAATCTAAACGCTTTTATAATTCTTTACGGAGGGAGTAGTAAGCAACGATCTACACATTTTGTACTCTTTCAGGCTCGAGGGGATACTTAACTTCAGCCTCTATGAAGTTCATGCATTGCGATGTAGTATTACGGAAGACTTGAGAAGGTGAGTGCAGTTTTCTTCTACTCTAGTTGCGAATTGCCAAGATCGATGTTACGTCGCCATTACCTTAAGAGATTAAAGAAAAAGGGATAAAATAACACAATAAAATTGAGGATCTAGTTCTCTCTTTTCCTTTTGATTCATAACCGAAGTTTTCACTTGAAAGTGCGTTGAATCCCCTTGCTTGTCACCCTTTTTAACATTGAAGGATGAAATATTTTCCTTTCTAGTGGGGACTTTCTAGTCCATCGAAGGATCAAATATGCTCAATTTGTTTTTCAAAAATCACGCTTTAAAGTTTCAAAAAAATATGAGAAAAATCACACGTTCATATGGATGTATTCTACATGTGTGTAAATTTTGATGATGATATACATTAACAGTGCACGCACTGTGTACAGGGTTATGATCGGGCATAAGGATGGATTGGTAATTATGGAGGTTGACCATGAAGGAAATTTCGTTGTCGCGGGCAGCAGGGGAAATACCATTTGATATGTTCTCCTCCGTCCGGAAATACTTGTCCTAGATCTATAACTAAAATAAGTCTAGATACAATCATTTCTAGGACAAGTATTTCCGGACGGAGGGAGTATTAACTGCCCGCAACTGACCAAGTTTTCAGTGTATTTACCACACATGTACATGTATGTATATCGGTCTATGGCCTCATGGATATGTTGTATATTTCTCAAAAGAAAAGTTGTACATTCCTCAATAAGATGTGGATATGGATATGGGGTATCACTGCTGATGGCTGCTATTCATGCATCCAATTCATTCAGCCGAGAAAATGATGGCGACAAGTGCCAAGGGAAGATATGGATATCAGATGTACTGAAAATGAAATGTTGAGAGGAAATTTACATTATCATCTATCTCTTCTGACAATCAGCAGAGAGTTTATTCACTTTTATTTACATACTTATGTCCTCTGCCCAAGACAAGAGACAAGAGCAGAGAAGAGCAGGGAGCGGTGTCGGGCGGGTGAGCTCGGGTGGTGCTGGCTGCCGCGGTGTCGGGCAGAGGAGCTCGAGCTGGAGGGATCGCTCAGGCTGGTGAGGGAGATCGGCGGCTATCTGCACAACAGGAGAGGCTAGCTGCACAGAGATTTAGAGTTTTTTGTTGAGTCCGCCGAGGTGTCACCATCGTGAGAGGTTACGACTATCTTTCACCTACACTACAGTATTATGTGATCTCCTTCACATGCCATTCCACGTGCACGGTGCACCACCAGGATACTATCCACTCCTTGTCCACCTTCTCTCCTTCCCTCCGCACCTCTCCTGCCCGCACGCACCCGCCTTCTCTCCTTCCCTCCGCACCTCTCCTGCCCGCACGCACCCGCCACCATGGGTTGCCGCCGTCGCTGCTTGCCACTGACGCATACTCTGCTGCTGCTTCTCGCTGCCGACTTGCTCCCTGAGCCGTCGAGAAGGCGCAATCGCCCCTTTGAGAAGTGCAGCCCGAGCTGCTCTGCGCCATGGCTGCAACCCGAGCGCCTGCTCCGCGCTGCCGCCCGTGTCGTGCTCGTCACCTTCCATCGATGCGATTTCTGGCGCTGCCATCGGGTTCCAGGGCGGCGAGGGATACGTGGCCGCCGCCGCGTCCAGCCACTGGAACGACCCAAGCGCACGACGACAGCTCCGGCGCCACGGAGATGGACGACTCCCGGAGCGGCGAGAAGGAAGGGGCAGCGGTGCTAACGGCGGTCCAACTCGTCATTGGGGATCATGGCGGCGAGCACGCAGTTGCCATCCTCCTCGCACATAGCCTCCATGAACCGCGCCTTCACCCTCA